AGAATACCAGAAGAATGTCTATCTGTGTTTCATTGATTATGCAAAGGCATTTGACTGTGTGGATCATAATAAACTGTGGCTGGCTCTGAGAAGAAAGGGAATCCCAGAACATTTAATTGTGCTAATGTGAAACCTATACTTGGACCAAGAGGCAGTTGTCAGAACAGAGCAGGGCAACACTGCATGGGTCAAAATTGGGAAGGGTGTACGCCAGGGATGCATCCTGTCTTTTCAATAAGACATAGTGCTTTCTAAATCTGAGGAGTGGTTAGGAATGTTTGGGTCTTCTAACGTTATCTGGGGCAGTTCTGAATCACCATGAAAATTCATCCCGAATTTAAAAAATATTCATGCTTTTTCCTCCTTCATCAATTCTAGACATCCATGCTGTTCGCCCTCATCGTGGGCAAATGGAAGTTGCTTTTCGGTTTCGCTCCCTCTTGGACTCTGATCATCACCCGTCTGAGATAGCAGGTCTGGACACGATACTGTGAGTGAGTGCATGTGCTTCTGTGTTTAGTGGGAGAATTAGTAATGCCTCGCTGTCTTATCTTTTCTACAGAAAGCCACAGGTTTTGTGATCGAGTTCAAGATGCATACACCCTGCGCTGCTGTCCACAGGTAAAAACAAAACCCAACAAGCTTTTCTTCCCCTGGGAATAATAGAAAAAAAGAGCTAAGTACTAAAAAACCGTGCCATGGGTCAATTATAAGTAGAAATTCCTTTGTTGTTTCCATTTAAAAATACGTATAAACCATCTCCATTTATAATCCCTATAAAGTTTCCATCCTTTAGGGCAAGTTTTTTTCTCTAGAAGGCTTTGCTCAACCTCCTCATCAGAGGAGGTTGCTCAGTAGCCAACTTGCTGTGTTGTTTCAGTTCCTTAATTCTTTTAAACTGCTTGTGATAAAATCTTTTTAGCCTGTTCATGGAGTTATACTGGTACTCCCTGTTATTCTGAACTTGAACCAGCCAATCAGGAATATTGACAGGAAAGGCTAATTGTACTATTTCCAAATTCAAGTGCACATCATGGGTGTACCTTCCCTGCATTTAATTGTTCTTGTTGTTATGTGCCATTAAGTCAGAACCCACTAACAGCTGACCCTCCAGTGGGTTTTCAGAGGCTATGAATCCCATGGGATTCAAAGACTGTCCATCTTTCTCCCTCAAAGAAGCTGTTAGATCGGAACCACTTGCCCTTGGCTTGGCAGCACAACTCCTTACCCCTAGGCCACCAGAGACATAAATCATTATAAATTAATTAGAAAGTGAACTTCAAATTAAAAAAATGCCAGATGACCTGGGGTGGCATTGGGCAACCAGTTTTGGCAGACTTTATAATTCATTACTGTAAGAGGGTGAAGCCAGAGTGTTCCCTGGAGTCAAGGATTCTGAAGCTTTGTCTGACATATTTTGGGCATGTTGCAAGGAGGGACTGGTCCTTGGAGAGGGGCATCATGTTTGGCAGAGTGGAGGGGCGGCAAAGGAGAGGAAGACCTTTGTTGAGATGGATCAATTCTGTGACTGGAGTGGTGGGAATAAGTGCATTTGAGATGGCTAGGTTGGCACAGGATAGAACAGCATTTAGAGCTCTTGTACATAGGGTCGTTATGAGTCGCAAGCGACTCGATGGCACATAACAACAACAACAACTGTGTGGCTATGTGATCTGATGATCTGACATCAGCAGTTAGTTGAACACAAAAGTAATAAGGATCTTAAAGATGAAAAAATACTTGGTTCGGTGCTTAGCCCTAGCTGATAGTGTCATAAAGACTTCTCCAGCACAAAAACTATCATTTCCTTTGCTCAGAAAGTTCTAGCTGATTCATTAAAATTTAGATTTCAGAAAAAGTCTATGTGGCAAAATTACCAAATGAGCTCCACGATAAGAATAAATCCTAGTTTTAAAGCTCCCTCACAGTCTAGGAATGAGCCCTGGTGGCAAGTGGTTAAGCATTCAGGTGCCAACCAGCCATGTGAGCTGTTCTGAGTGAGACCGGACAATCTCTTTCTGTAAAGATTTGCAGCCTTAGCCCCATGGGAGAACTTCTGCTTTGTTCCGCAGGGTCGCTGTGAGAATGAACTCAAGGGCAGTGGATTTGGGTGGTGGAGTTTTTAAAATATATTTTATGTGGTAGACACCATTTTAAGAATCAGTTTATTCATTTCCCCAGTGATGAGATGCTGTTATTGTTGCTGGCAAGGTAGCCCTGACTCCGTGACTAATGCTCAAGGGAACAAAATGTTGCCCAGTCGCCTCCATGACGGCAGGGGAGTTAGAGCTCTGTGGTGATGCCTGGCTGACTTTTGGAAGGAGATCACCAGGCTTTTCTTTCTAGTCTAAGTCTGGAAGCATCGCAGCAGCGCACAAGCTTCCAGTGGGAGGCAGGTGGTGGCTACACAGAGTTGCATTCCTTTGCCGTTTTTTGTTGCTGTGTGCTGTTGAGTCAGCAACAACTCATAGTGATGCTCCAGCCCGTTTCCAGAGGTGATAAATCACATGGAGAGAAGATTATTAGTCTTTCTCCCATTGAGCAGCTGGTGGATTCGAACAGCCTGTCTTTGGGTTGGCAGGGCAACTCCTTACCCACTAGGCCAACAGAGGAGTTCTACAAATTAACCATCAATGCTTCACCAATAAGGTAGGTACTCTTATTCCCACTTTTGTACTTGGGAAACTGAAATGCAGAAGTTAACTGCCTTACTTAAAATCACACAGGTAGGCTTTTACTTCTGAGAGGATTTAGAACACAGGCACTGTTTGGAAGTATATCTAGATCTTGAGGAATGGAAAGAAGAAAAATGTGGCATCAGGATTGGAGGAACAATCAACAATGGCCTTTGTTATGCAGGTAACCTAACCTTGCTTGCTGAAAGTGAGGAGGACTTGAAGCACATGCTACAGAAGGTTAAACTCTGCAGTCTTCAATATGGATTGCTTCTCAACATCAAGAAAACAAAAATCCTCACCACTGACCCAACAGGCAACATCATGATGGGTAGAGAAAGGATTGAGACTGCCAATCACTTCTTCTTACTTGGATCCACAATTGATGTACTTAGTACTCATAATCAAAAGATCAGAAGATGAATTGCACTGGGAAAGTCTGTAGTCTGGGACCTCTCTAAAGTACTGAGGAGCAATGCTGTCAGTTTCATGACTAAGGTGTGCTTGATCCAGGTCATGGTATTTTCAATCCCCAGGTTGCTATGCATCTGAGAGTTAGACAGTGAATAAGAATGACAGAATTGATGCCTTTAAGTTGTGGTGTTGGAGAAAAGTGCTGGGATAGTCAAAAGAACAAGCAGATATGTCCTGGAGAAAGTACAGATGAAGTGCTCCTTGGAAGCAAAGATGATAAAGTTTCATGTCACATATTTTGAGCATGTTGCTAGTAGAGACTATTCCTTAAAGAACTTCATCATGCTTGGAAAGCTGGAGGGATGGTAAAAGAGGAAACTTTCCACCAGATGGATCAAGACAACAACTGCAGCAATGGAATGCAGAGATTATAAGGATGAAACAGGATAGGACAGGTTTAGGTCAACTGTTCATAGGGTCTTTGACAACACCTAACAACAAAAACAAATTGTCTGTCTTTACAGTCCATTAGGCTTTTTAAACTATAACTTGCCCAAGTCCTATTGTTCAGGAATTTAATTAGATTGTGTCTAAATTTGACATAGTTTCTCCTATACTCTACCATGTCTCAATCTACTGTTAATGTATGTTAGAGGGAATTTATTCCCATTTGTCTCAGTGAGTATCCAGAGGATTCTCTTCAAATTGAAAATTAACAGACTATGTTTCAATTACAAAATAATTTCTGGGGAAGACAGAAGGTGTTCTCTTATATAATACAGGTACAAAAACAACAAAAGGAGTATGTGTACCTGAAAACACACATAAGGGGACCAGTAGGTAATGTATCTTATTTGATTATATTTTAGGTCCACGGTGTGGTGAATGACACAATTGCATTTGTGAAGGACATCATTACCACAGAACTTAACAGTGCAACAGATAACCCTGTATCCTTTGCTTGCTTACTCAATTAGACTTACAAGTAATCTCCCACTTCCAAAAGGGCTCCCTTAAGTCTACTCCATTGTAAGTCAGTTCTGATTTAAGTCTAACATTTCTCTCCTTTTTTTAGTTTCCATTATCAATGCCTCTTACTATCAGTGCCTTGATAAAGCTGATCTGTATTCATCTTTGGTGTTGTTGAGTATGACTCATAGCGACCCTCTGAATAACAGACTTGAACCCCGCCCTATCCTGTGCCATCCTCACCGTCTTTAACACACTTGAGGCCACTGCTGCGTTCTCTGTGTCAGTCCATCTTGTTAGAGCTCTTCCTTTCCTTTGCTGAGCCTTCATCTTTCCAAGCATGATGTTGCTTATCAAGGAATAGCCTTGTCTAGCTACATGTCCAAAGTATGAGCGATGAAGCTTCAACTCCTTTGCCTTTGAGGAGCACTCTGGCTACACTTTCCCTAAGACATATCTGTTTGTGTTATTACACAAACTGCAGCGCAATATATCGTACATATTACTAATGATAAGATGGACAAAACCGGAAAACAAAACTCCAGTCAGAAGTAGGGTTAGTTGTAACCTTAAATTGTAACTACCAGACAGTATTCTAAGGTGTCATTTTCATATCATCTGAAGTGACTATTTTGGGTATTACCTCATCCTGGTCACTCCACTTTGTAGACCAAGGACCTCAGACTCAAAGGTTAAGTGACTTTCTCTGGATCAAAGCTGGGAAATGACAGAAGCAGACTCAGCAACTCAATTTTGGGTTCTGAGACTTAAATGCTGTACTTTCAAAATTGACTCATTAAAGACTAATAAAGATATTCCCAGCATTGACTGAAATATTTCATGAAAACAATGACTTAAAGTCATTACCTCCACTAAGGCTATAAGTAGAAGAATGAACCCTCACCTTAATACAAATGTGGTTGGCTAAGTTGGCAATTATGTCAACTTCTTGTTTTAGTGATGTTATGATTCAATAAGCAAAAAGACAACCTTTTAAAAGTTACCAGACCATTGGTCAAACTGTTATGTCCTTCACTATTCCAAGTTTATTTTTCTGACATTGGCTTTCCTCAATTGATTCCATGATTACTCAGGGTTTGGCTGGTTTCAGGGGGCCATCTTGGGTTTACTTGTGGAAGGGTTTTTGATGGCTTAGTGAGAAGTTGATATTGACTGGGCAGGGATGGCAATGACAGAATCTTCACAGAGAAAATACTGTCCTTGAAGAACATTGTATTATAACATAAGGATCAGTTTAACCTATTTTATGTCCTACATGGCTGGAGAAAGGGCTGATACGGAATCTGGGTTTAACAGCCTGGGTGAGCAGATGGTTTCACAACAGTCATGTATGTAACCTCATGTGTTCAGTCTGTCTTCTCCGGGGATTTAAATTAGGTTGTGTGTTTTGTGGTTGCTCTTTATAGACTGTTTTTAAGGAGCTCTGGTGGCTTAGTGATAAGGAGATATATTTGCCAACACAAAGGGCAGAGGTTAAAGCTTACCAACTCCTCCATGGGAGAAAGATGGGCAGTCTCTTCCTGTGTGATTTACAGCCTCTGAAAGGCCAATGGAAGGTCAGCTACAGGTCAGTTCCAACTCAATGGCACATAGCAACAATAACAAAAGATCGCGATATCTCTCTCTCTCTCTCCCCCCCACTCTCCCTCTCTATCTCTATCTCTCTATTTGCACCTAAGTCAATTCCACACTAAGTAGCCTTAGGATTAGCAACAATTTCTCAAGTTCTACAGCAATACTAGTATTCTCTGAAAGAATATTTTCCTCAACTTTCTATTGCAGCTGTAGTATACATACTTGTTGAGTACCATCAAGTTGCACTTTCTACATAGTATTTATTATTGTTGTTGTTGATGATTGCCTTTGAGTCAAGGACAACTTATAGCAACCCTATAAACAAAAGGCCTGAAGTCTTTCTATAACTTGTCATCTATCAAATTTCGTAGAGTTTCCAGAGGCATGTTATACTGTTTAGGAAGTGGATGCCACTTCTGATTCCAAACCTGTCTTAAACTGGAGCTCCACTAAACACTGTCCATTATGGGTAACCATTACGGAATCTGACACTTCAATGGCACAAGGTTCAGCATCACAGCAACCCAGGGTACCTCAGCACAGCATATTGACAGAAGAGTGCTGTACCACTTAGAGGAATTTTCCTCCAAAATATAACAACTGACTTTTAAATAGAAGGGCCCTCCACTAGGTCTTGTTGACTCTAAACAAGAGGCTTAAATAAAAACCAATCAATATAGCATGTTTTTTTTGTTCTGTGCCATTGAATTGCCTGTGAAGTATAGCAACCCTATGTACAGCAGCTTTGAACCCTTCCCTGTCCTGAGCCAGTCTCACTAATTTGACACACCAATCCCCATTACCCCAGATACTGTATCAATCCATTTCATCAGAGTCTTCCTCTCCTGCTCTGTCCCTCCACCCTTCTGAGCATGATGTCCTTCTCCGAGGACTGGTCTCTCTTAGCCACATGCCCAGAGTATGGGAGGTGGAGCTTCAAGATCCTAGCCTCCAAAGAGACTTGAAATCACCCTTTCCAAGTTGGACCTATTTGGTTTCTTGCAGTCTATGGTATGTTCAAGACTCTTCTCCAGCACCACAACTCGAAGACATCTATTCTTCTGTCATTCTTAGTCAGTGTCCAGCTCTCTGACGCATAACAAGTAATTGAGAAGACCATGCCTTGGATTAGGCACACCTTTGTCTCTAGACAGACATTGCTGCTTTATAGTACTCTGGAAAGGTCAGTGACAGCAGATTTTCCCAATGCAATTTGTCTTTTGATTTCCTGACTGCTGATGTTAAGAATATTGATTGTGGATCCAAGCAAGCTGTAATTGCTAACAACCTCAATTTCTTCTCCATCTGTTATGGTGTTGCCAACTGGCCCAGTGGTGAGGATATTTGTCTTCTTGATGTTGAGCTTCAATCCGTATTGAAAACTACAGTCCTTGACCTTCTGCAGCAAGTGTTTCTTCAGGTCCTCTTCAGTTTCAGCAAGCAAGGTTGTGTCATCTGCATATCATAGGTTGTTGATGAGTCTTCCTCCAATCTTAATGCCACACTTATCCTCATAAAGTCCTGCTTCTCTAATGATCTTTTCTGCATACAGATTGAAAAAGTATGGGGAAAGGTTGCATCCCTGACACAATCCTTTCCTGATTTTGAACCATCCAGTGTTTCTTTGCTCTGTTCTGAGGACTGTTTCTTGGTCAAAGTATAGGTGTTGCATAAGCACAATCAAGTGTTCTGGAATTCACATTTTCTTCAAGGTTAGCCACAATTTATTGTGATCCACACAGTTAAATGCCTTTGCATAGTCAATGAAACACAGATGGACATTCTTCTGGTACTCTTTGCTTTCTGCCAAGATCCACCTGACATTGGCAATAATGTCTCCCGTGCCACAACCTCTTCTAAACACAGCTTGTATTTCTGATAGTTCTCTGTCAATATACTGTTCCAATCATTTCTGGATAATCTTCAGAAGGATTTTGCTAGTCTGTGATATTAGTGATATTGTTTTATAATTTCCATCTCTGTTGGATCACCTTTTTTTGGAATGCGAATAAATATGGATTTATTCCAGTCAGTTGGCCAAGTATTTGTCCTCCAGATTTCTTGGCACAACTTGGTGAGCACATGCAGGGCAGCATCTGTTTGCTGAAATACATCAATTGGTATTCCACCAATTCCTGGGGCTTTATTTTTTGCCGACTCCTTCAGAGCAGCCTGCATTTCCTCCTTCATCATCATTGCCTCTTGAGCATATGCTGTTTCTTGAAATTCTTCTATCAGCCAATTATTTTTGGTACAATGGCTCTGTGTACTCCTTCCATCTTCTTTTAATGCTCCCTGAATTATTTGATATTCTGTCCATAACATCCTTAAGCATTGCAATTTGTGGCTTGCATTTGTTCTTTAGCTCCATCAGCTTAAGAAATGCTTAAGAAATGATCCTTTTGATTTTCTGACTCCAGCTCCTTGCACATTTAATTTTAATATTTTACCTTGTCTTCCTGAGCTGCCTTTTGAAGTCTTCTGTTTCACCTCCTTAACTTCTTGATTTCTTCCCTCTGCTTTGGCTTCTAGGCACTCTAATGCAGTATTCAGAGTCTCTTCTGGGACCCACTTTGGTCTTGTCTTCTTCTTCCTTCTTTGTAATGACTTTCTGCATTCTTCCTAGATGATATTCTTGATATCTTCCCACAGCTTATCTGATCTTTTTTCATTAGTGTTCAAGGCCTCAAACCTATTCCTCAGTTGGTTTTTAAATTCATGGGGGATAGACTCAAGGTCAAATTTTTATTCCTGTGGATATGATTTCACTTTCTTTAGCATTAATTTGAACTTGCATATGAGCAGCTGGTGTTCCACATCAGCACCTGGCCTAGTTTTTACTGCTGATATTGAACTTCTCCAATGATTCCTTCCACAAATATGATCGATCTGATTCCTGTGCATCCCATCAGGTGAAATAGCCTGCATTTATGTTTCTTATAAAAGTTATTTTCTATAAATAAATCATTAATTGTACAGAATTCTATCCCCAGCTTCATTTCTGTCACAAAGTCCTTATTTTCCAACTCTTTTTTTTTTAAGTGTAATTTCCATTTTATTTTCAGACGAGTTTTTTCTTCAGCCTTTTAAGGAATCAAATCCTTACATGGGCTTTGGTGGTGGTCGTGGGGCGGCACCTGCAGGTCTAAATCTAGGTGGAGGTGTCCGGTCCTTTCGGGCTTCACGAGAACGGTTCCTCACGACCTTGCTGTGAATGGCACAACTCACACAGTAGTGCAGTTTCACATAGAGCTTTGGAAGCACATAGGCGTCGAAAACACTCGCTTCGGAAATGTCCCTGACAGCAGCTGCCTCTACTATATTTCGGATTACGAACTTCTTAATTGCCTTGTCTTTGGGCACGCACCGGGCGCAGTTCGTGCAGCGAATAGGCTGCACGTGGCCGCGGCCCTTTTTGGCACGACCGTTGTTTCTCCTTTTCTTCGTCATGTTGGAAGCGAGGATCCGAGAGTATTTTCCAACTCTTGATCCTTCTTTCTTGTTCCCAACTTTTGCATTCCTGTCACCCATTATTATTAATGCATCTTTGTTACATGTTCAATTGATTTCTGAGTGCAACAGTTGATAGAAATCATCTATTTCCTCCTCCTTGGCTCTGGTCTTCCTTGTATGCATATGTGTATTATCTTGTCACTCACAATATTGTATTTTAAGTAAGTCACAAAACTTAGCAGAAGCTCTGTGGCAAGGATCTTCCTTCAGTACTGCCTCAAGCAAAAATCTTTCCCTAAAGTTGGTCATAGGCTTTGGACTTACATTCTCCTAAACAAGAGACAGACAATAGCTTGAGAGACCAGTAGCAGTGTGTGATGCAAGACATCACAGAAGTGACTGGTGATCATATTAAGAGGTGGCTGGGGAAGGGAGGGTTTGACCAGGTAGCCGTGGGTGCAAGGAATGGGGAGTTGGCAGGGAAAGGGAAGAGACGAGTCACACATGCTTGCAGGGAAAGGGAACAGTGAATGTATTGGTTATTTCTGTAAGGGAAGTGCTTTTCATCTGCTAGATAAAATTGCTTGCCAGATACACTAAGCATCCAAATTAAGACAGAGTAGGAAGAAGGATTGGCTATGCACTTCAAAAAAATGTATGTATAGTAGAGCACACTTAGAGTAGACTGACAGATATGGCAACTGTAGCTGAGCCCTCAAATTTGGAAACAAAAGAGGGAAAACTGTTGTAAGAAGAAATTAACAATTGGTGCATGGAATGTGAGAAGCATGAATGTAGGAAAACTAGACATTGTAAAGACAGAAATGGAAGGCATAAATCTGGACATACCAGGCATTAGCAAAATGAGATGGATTGGCATGGGACATTTTGAATCCCACAACCACATGATCTATTATGTTGGAGATGAAAAGGTGAGGAAAAAATGGGGTTGCTTTCATTGAAAAGAAATTCTACTATTGAAATTAAATTCTAATAATTAATAATCTGATTTAAGAACCCAGAAAAGAAATTAGAAACAATTAGAGAACAAAAAGGAGCTCTGATGACCTAGAGGTAAGGAGTTACACTGCCAACCCAAAGGCCTGAAGTTCAAATCCACCAGCTGCTCCACTGGAGAGAAATGGGCAGTCTCCTCCCATGTGATTTACAGCCTCTGAAAATCCAGTGGAGGGTCAGCTATGAGTCAGTTCCAACTCAATGGCACTAAACAAGAGCAGAGGACAAAGCCCACTGCCCGTGAATTGGTCTTGACCCATAGCTTCCCTCTATCAGGTTTCCAAGGCTGCAAGTCTGCACCAGAGGACACTGCCCATCTTTCTCCTGAGGAGCAGCTGGTGAATTTGAGCCAACCACTGACATTTTGGTTATCAGTGCTGCATATAATGTCTTATGCTTTCAGAGTTCAAAAAATCTTATTAGAAAGTTGAGCAATGGATAGGGAAGGCTGAAGAATTGATGTCTTAAAGTTATGGTATTGGCAGATTAACTATTTCTGGAAACTTTCACCAGTCAGTACCTTCCACTCAGCTTAGACATTTCCCTTCAGTACCACTGATTGATTGTTCACCACATACCTGAAATGGTCCACTGTAATTATTTCTAGTACAATCATTCTGCATTTCATCCAATGTCTGGTGCTTCCTGCATCATTCAGTATTTTCTCCATTGAATTCTTCAATATTGTAACTTAAGGCTAGAGTTTTTACCTCAGTTTTTTTTTTGTTTTAGAAATGCAGAGCATATCTTTCTCTTCCCCCCCAACTCCAGGTCTTTGCATAATTCACTATTCTGACATATTTTAAATTTTTATGCTCTGCTTTTATATTTCATCATGTCCTTGATTTGTTTTAACTATTCTATATTTGAGAGGAAGCTTCAGAGTCTCTTGTAACGTTCACTCTTGTGTTTTCCTTGCTTGCTTGTTTAATAAATTTTTTATTTCTTCGTGTATGTTGTTCTGGAGTTATTCCATAATTCTTCTGGTCTTTGAGTGTCTGATATATCAAATTTGTTCTTGAGATTGTTTCTAATTTCAGATGAGATATATGTAAGGTTGTACTTTTTTATAGTTGTTTTAATTTTCTTCAATTTTAACTTGCACTTGCATTTGAATAATTAATGGTCTGTTCTAAAGCCTACTCCTGGCCTTGTTTTGACTAATTATGTTGAAAGAGATATCCATCATCTCTTTCCACAGATATAATTTATTTGATTCAAAGCCATGTTGCTCCTTGGAGGCATGGAATCTGAAACTCCATCTCACACCCTTTGTACATGTTGCCAGAGGGACTAGTTCTTGGAGAAGGGCATCATTGGGAGGGTAAAAGGCCAGCACAGAAGAGGAAGACCCTGGATGAGATGGATTGACACAGTGACCATGGCAATAGGGACAGATGTGTCAAAGACAGTGAGATTGGCTCAGGATAGGGCAGGGTTTAGAGCTATTCTTCACAAGGTCGCTATGAGTCATACTCAATTCAACAGCACAATCTTTCATCTAATGATGCTAAATAGTTTTAGAGTAGCAATTTATGGTGTTGAAAGAAAGCAATTGAAATCAATGTCATTTGTTTCGCAAATTTTATCATGAGATCTTTTGTGTCATATTTCTCACCCAGCCCATAGTTTCCAATTATTTATACTTGTTTCTTTTCACCTTTTCCATTCCCATCATCAGTAATTATCAAAGCACTTAATTGTACATTTGATCAACTTTAGATGGCAAAAGTTGGTTAAGAAAATTTAATTTCTTCATTTTTGTTGTGGTTACTGTGTTAACTAGAAAATAGTTGCATTGACTGATTTTGCTTTGATGTGTTTGGCACTATCCTTTCACTGACAGCACTGTACTTCAGGAGAAATCTTAAAATTGTCTTTGCAACATATTAATTTCTCATTCCTAGCATAGTAAACCATGGGATTATCCAATATCTACTTGATAAGTGGTAAATATTCACTAACCCAATAGGTGAAAAATTAGGTTTCAGAACTAGGAATGAGAAGTTGTCACTGCTTTAGGTTGGGTGCCTAATGTTTTAATTAAAATACTGGTAGTATGGGATTATTATTGATAGTAATAATAATGTCCAAGTTTCTTCCTGCTTAAATGGACTTGCAAGAACCTATTAACTATCATCTGGTGTTAACTTAGTTTGAATATTTTCTCCAAATTATTATTCCAGATGGTGGGAGTATTTATTATTCCAGCTAGGTGGACTACCATCAGTGGACTCTTTCATGCAACAATTTCTTCCATGTAGTAGAAGCTCACAGAATTCATTAGAAAAACAGAATTTACTTGTAAACTGGTGTCCTGGTCTCTATGCTTAGCTTCAGGATGTTTTAAATCTTTGAGGCAAGTACAAACCACCACGTTATTCTAGTTACGGGGATTGAGAATCTAATCTCAAGGGAGAACATCATCTCATCTCATGCTTCATATTCATATTAGAGTTCTTTGGACTCTAATCTTTAAGATTTTAAATGTTTGTGTTCCTTTATGTCAACATCTGTGGGAACATGACTTTCTACCCCTTAGTACAAGGCTGCTAACCCAATGTTGAGTAGCTTGGGAAAAGAGTTATACTTGAAGTGAAGGAACTATGCTTTCAAGTATTCAAGCCTTAACTTCTCTGAAAGATGGTCTTTGCCAGTAGAGGAGAGACTATTTCTGGAGGCAACTTCCACGGAGAATACCCAGCCAAAGTAAGTATTTAGAATTACTTTTGATCCTCAAAGTACAGTGTGCAATAAGCTGACTGAATTGAGACTTTTTCAGGCTTTGGACTATTTGGCCATCGGTGTCCATGAACTTGCTGCAATTAGTGAGAGAAGAATTGAAAGACTCTGCAATCCTTCCCTCAGTGAGCTGCCTGCCTTCCTGGTGGCTGAAGGTGGCCTGAACTCGGGGTTCATGATAGCCCACTGCACAGCAGCAGCCCTTGGTAAGGATGTCACCATTTTGTCAGGACACAAGCTTGCCCTCCTCTGTTGTTGTCGAATAAATGAATCAGAACTGACTTGTGGTTGACCCTCTAGGAGGTTTTCAGAGGCTGCAAATCCCTTGGGAGGAGATTGCCCTTCTTTCTCTCTTGAAGCAACTGCTGGACTTAAACCGCCCGCTTCTGGGGTGGCAGAACAACTCCTGACCACTAGGCCACCAGAGCTCTGTTGTTGTTAGATGTCATCGGTTTAACTATGACTCATAGTGACCTTCTCCTGTACTCTCCTCACACTCAAGCCCCCACTTAAGCCCATTGTCACACCCATTGTGTCAATCTATCTTTTTAAGGGAAATCTGTCTTTCCTCTCTGTCACTGACCCGCTGCTTTCCCCAGCTGTGTTGTTGAGTACCATCAAGTCATAAGCAACCCATGGCCAATCCTCCAGTGAGTTTTTAGGAGGAATTAATCACATGGGAGAAAATTGCTCATCCTACTCCCACAGAGCAGCGGGCACATTTGAACTCTGTGCCTTTCCCACTTGTAGGCTCTCTTATTTTACTTAAGTTGGCATTTTGGCTTTGAACAAGGCTTAATGTCAAGAATATTTTCACCACTTCCACTTTCATCATTGCTCTCCCAATCTAAACACATCAGGAAATTATTTTCTAAAATACAAATAATTTATTTTCTGTTTTTAAAATAATTGTTAAAAGTAATTTAATGATTTTAAGGAATTTCTGGTTTTTTAAAGATAATTTTTCTAGAATAAAAGTGAAAACTTGACAGTGTTACAGTAAAACATAACCTTCGGGCATGTTTGCACGATCCCTCCTAAAGTTTGCTAAGTTTTCAGAAGTAGATAAACAGACCTTTCTTCCCAGGTACCTCCAAATAGACCCTCTGGATAGACTCTCATCTCCAACCTTTAGGTCACAGACGAGCATGTTAACTGCACCATGCAGGAACTCCTGTAGTGAAACAATGAGTCTGTGAAATGAACATTTCTCTTTGGAAAGGAATTTCACATCACATACAGACTTTCTCTTTGCAGTTATTCTCCTAATTCTCACTCTGAAAACGTTCAGATGGAAAGAACAAAGGTATTTAGAGTTAATGAATGCTGAAATTTGCATCAACTAAATGAATGATTAAACTTTGGATACATGAAGGTGACTCAATGGTTAGGTGCTCAGTTGCCAACTGAAAAAGTCAGAGGTTCACACTCACCTGATATGCTGTAGGAGAATTGCCCTGGTATGTTGTCCTAAGGATTTCATCCTAGGAAATCTTAAGGTCTTCCTTAAGATTCTGTGTTGCTATGAGTCACAATGGACTAGATGACAAACAATAACAAAGATTCTATTATACAAAATACAATTTTGTATATAGTATATATTGTTGTTATGAGCTATCAAGTCAGAACTGACTCATAGCTAATCCTCCAGCAGGTTTTTCAGGGGCAGTAAATCACAAGAAAAAGGCTTTCCCATCTTTCTCCTGAGGAGCAGTTGGTGGATTTGAACCATGTGCCTTTGGATTAGCAATGTGACACCTTAACACTAAGCCACCAGAGCTTCCATCACAATATTAATATATAATATTAAGAAAAGCTTAAGAAGAAGGATACCCTCAATAAAAACTGAGCTTCATATAGCTGATTTCTGAGTCAAGAGTGTTAAGAGATAAATAACACATAACAACTGTGCACACCACCACCACGAGGCAGGTATTTATATCTCTACTTCACAGTTGAGGATTCCCTGAATCTCTGAGAGATGACTCAGTCAAGGCTGTATAGCTAGGAAGGAGCAGAGCTTAATTTAAGCTCAGAACTTAAAATTCCTGAATCATTACTCTCACATGTGAATAATTGCTCAATTACTGAAGATCTAATGTCAATCAAGTTAATTCCAAAGTAGATGCATCCTGGTGGTACAGTGGTTAAACCCTGGACTATTAACTGAAAAGTCAGCAGTTCGATCTCATCAGTCATGAGAGGACGATATCTGCTTCCATAAAGACACTCAGCCTTGGAAATCCCGTGGGCAATTCTACTCTATTCTACAAGGTAGCTCTCGGTTGAGTGGATTCCATAGCAGTGGATTGGAGACTTATAATAGGGTCGCAATTCGTGATTGCTGTGATACTGAACACTGTGACACTGATGTGTCAAATGCAATAATAGTTACCCATGGTGGACAGTGTTTGATGGAGCTCCCAATTAAAAGAAGCTTGGAAGCAGGAGTGGCATCCACTTCCGAAATAGCTTACCTTCAGGAACTCTATGAATGTGGAGAAGCGATGAAAGTTATACAAGTGTTCAGGTCTTTCATTTATAGGGTTGCTATGAATTGTCTACGACTCGACGGCATTTAACAACAACAAGGTTTGACATGTAAGAATACAGTTTGATTTTAACTATTCAAAAGGAATTAAATTCAAATGTAAGTGTGAACTATTTGGGGCCTAGACTAAAAACAGTTTACTCTTGGTCTAAAATACGTATTACCTTGGGCATCTTGATTTTTATTTAACACCTCTATCCCTACCATCCTAACACAGTGGTTAAAAACATGGACTCTCCATAATGAAACCTGAGCTGGTCTCTTCATTTTGCTGATCCTCAATTTACTCTTCTGTAAAATGAGGATGATGACCCTACTAATAGGGGCTGTTAGAAAGATTAAACGAGTTAATGAATGGGAAGCCTTGGAATTGTGCCTAGCACATGTTAAGTACTCAAAAAACATTTAAAACAACACACACACAACCTATTACTGTCAAGTAAATTTTTATAGCACCCCTCTGTCAGATTTCATTTTAGAGGCTATTACTTATGATTAATAATAATGTAACACATAACTCCTTCCTTGCCTAGACTCTCATTGTAACACAATTAACCAAAATAAAAATAAATAAACATACAGTTACCAAGTTGATTCTGACTCATAACGACCCTACAGGGCAGAGTGGAACTGCCCCAGGGGGCTGACTATCAGTCTTTGCATTAGGAAAGTGGACCAGCTCTTGATTTCAAATTGCCAACCTTTCTGTAACAGTCAAATGCCTTGACCATAGCTTCACCAGCACTCCTTACTAACCAAGAAAGAGCCTCTGGATTCATTCCCACCCCCATCCCCCACTCATCAGTCCAGTGAAACTGTGAGAAATAGAACTTGACAGGACTGCCGTGGGCTGCGGGGTCTCAGAAGTGGCATGTAGCTAGCTTCTCTCTCTCCTTTCAGGGTAAAATGTTTGCATTTTCCTTCTCTGATAGGTTTCCACCTTACACAGGTGCCAACTGACACATATTTTATTTTTTAATATTTAATTCCCTCACCTGCTTAAAAGGTTAGAGACTTTTCACATTAACATGGTGATGCAGGGGAAAGGTCATTGATTTCTGAGAAACTTCATTAGAATAGATTGAGATTCTCAAATTACCTGTTGAAGTTGTTCAGCTTGCTTTCATTATAAGGAAACTATATATAGTCTCTCTCTCTCTCTC